TGAACCCAGCTCCAGCCCTGGCATTGCGACCCCCCCACACAGGGGTCAGTGAACTTAAGTGCTAACTATATAGTATGAGAACACAGTGTCTAGTAAGAGATGGCTACAAGTCGACTGGTATATTACAACCATAGAATTAAAGTGACATTGAAGTCAAAATGTCACTTTAAAATGCTAATATAATCACTTACAATGGATACTGCTTCTTGATGTTTATAAGTTCAGCTGGTCCCCTGAGTATTGGCCCTTGTATCTTGTTTTAGAGTGGCTCCTTTCCCTTGCAGACAGGGCCGGATTTCCCACAAGGCCAACCAAGGCCAGGCCTCGGGGGAGCAGGGAGTAGAGGGACAGCAGGGGTGTGGAATTCCTATCTCCAGATGCCCGGGACATGCAGTTCCAGGCGCTGGGCGGGTAGTTTTTTTCTACGTTTAGCCCTGCTTTGGGCAAGCAGAGCTAAATGTACAGCGGGGAAGCTGCTGCTTGTTTTGTACAAGTGATCTCGGCGATGTTGCCGAGATCACTTGTATGCAAGTTGCAGGTCTGCAATTCTCCATGGGGGGATGTTTGGTGGGTAGGGGGGCGCATTGAGGAACCTGGCCTTGGGGCAGCAGAGAGAGTAAATCCGGCCCTGCTTGCAGGGTCCTATGGAGTCACCCTTGTGTGTACTAGTAAGCTGTGTGTGTCTCCACAAACACAGCAGGGCAAGCCACCCCCCTGCTCCCTGCTCCTTTTTTCTCCAAGCTAATAGAGGATAGTTGCTGGAGACTGCTGTGTCCCTTGTGATCATGTACAGGAAGTTCAGGGAAGCCAAGCTGAGAGAATTGTTCTGAAACACGATGACTCTGAGTTCTTGGGGAAAAATTGAAATGACTTTGCCGGGCTATACATATTTGGTTGATCCGGATTCATTATTGCAAACGTTTCAGAGTTTAATACTACTTTAAAGAGCGCACTCTTAAGTCGTGCTTCCTTAAAGGATCAGCATCTCCAAATCTGATATTTTGGTTATAAGTCGAGCCTGGTGGCTTCTTATATGGATTAGATACTCCCAACAGTGAGAGCTCCCTGCAATAATTCCTGGCTCTGTTCCTGTCCAGCCTAGAGTTTTGCATGTCCCCATCAACCTTTGTGTGTTACAACTTTTAGTGTGTTACAACTCCTCCTGTCTTCATAATAAAAACCCCCTATAAATGGACACTGCAGGTGTGCAGACCCGGGAACTAAAAACAGATCTCACCAATAGAGTCCCCAATATAACTCTCCAACATCTATCAAACGTTGAAATATCTGTTTCGGGTGGACCAACACTTTCAAATGCATTTGAAAAGATGGTGCATTTAAAAGCTCTTTGCTAGTTATGGGCATTGACAATTTATTTTAAATGGTGTTGATAGAATGTTGCAAATATGTTATTAGTCATTGTGGTTACAGATGCTTTCTCACTGTCAGTAAATGGAGTAATAAGAGGCTGTGGACTGTTCTTGTATAAGATGTAAAAAACCTCCACAATCTAAACACAAAACATAAAAGACTGTACTCTGTCCTGCCCTATTGAATTCAAATAATATTAACTACAGTGTGTTTGAAGGATCTGCAGGATCATCCTTCCAATATATTGCAAACAAGATTTGTACATGAACAAGCCCTCATGGCGCTGAGTGTCTTGTCTTTCCTAATGGAATAATCAAAGTGAAATGAAGAGGACTATGAAAGAGGTGTGATGAATTACCTGTTCCCCACGCACTCGATCAGGTTAGCTTATTCCACAGCGATACATATTACTGATGTTCGTCTTACACTTGTCCCGTATCTGTGGCTTGGGGTGGAAGGGAAGTAGGCGGGGAACTAAACTTCCCTTTTTTTTTTATTGTTCAGTTGTTCTATTCCACATACCCTACGACCTAGTGCTTCGACAGCTAGAGAACTAACTAGAAATTGCAAAGTTGAAATCTTATAAACAACCCAACAAACAACATATCCGGTCAAACAAAAAGTACCCTTGCAGAGGGTCTATCCCTGCAATGCAAGGGTTAAGTGCTTATTTTTGTCTAGGGGCTAAAATAAAGGTTTATTTTCATGATCCTCGGTGCATCCAGCTCCCTCCGAGCTGCTAGACCGGTTCATACAGTTTTTCTCCCTTGGGTTCCAGCAGTCTAAGGAGCACTGACCCCAGAAAGCTTATAAGAAACCAACATCATCATATCCAGCGTAGACAGAAAAGTACCCTTCCAAAGGGTCTTCCCCTGCAATGCAAGGGTTAAATGCTCATTTGTTTTTTGTCTAGAGGCTAGAGTAAAGGTGCCCATACACTGCACGATTCTCGTATGAGAATCGCGGGAAATCCCGCGATCAGACGAGAATCGTGCAGTGTATGGAAGGCGTGCAACCGTTTCTACTGTACGGTCACACGTCTTCTAATGGAACCAGCATGTTAGAAAACCCGCCGAGAATCGTACAATTCTCGGCGAGTTAGTGGCCTGCTGGTTCGACAACTGCCAAACGGGCCTGTGTGCGCATGCGCACACACAAAAGTCTTGCGAGGGTTGTAAAGTGTATGGGCACCTTAAAGCAGATTTATATTCCTGATCTGATTCCTGTACTGCCGGCTCCCTCTGGGCTGCTAAACTGGTTTCTACAGCTTCTTCTCCCCTGGGTTCCAGTGGTTTAAGGAGCATCACGTCTTATGCAGGTTCCATAGGACCTGTATTAGACATGAGGATGCCGAAGGACAGTTCACCAGCTGGATTAGAGGATAGGAGGATGAGAGGAGTTTTGACCATTGGGGGAAAGGAGATCAGGTAAGTAAATCTGCTTTAATCCAGCCCCCAGACATAAACAGGCAACTCTGGGTAGCCCCATTGCAAAAGTACTTTTTTTGCCCGGAGATGGACTTTAAGAAGCTGGAGGTACAAGACAGGTTACAAGTGTAACTTTAGCCCAAACTTCTTTTTGGATAGAGTGGAGAAGGGCGAGAACTCCTGTCTGGTTTTACTTCACTTGGAGGCATAGGCGTCGCTACTAGCACTGCCATTGGCTGCCTGTGCATATCAGCTCAGCGGGGCCTGCAGAGGAAGAAGAGGAACATCAATGCGGCTTGGGGATCGATGCTCCTCCCCTCCCCCCGCCACCACGCAGAGAGGAAGAAGAGGGCACGAGGACTGAGCACATCAGAACTGTAAGTACACTTTCTATCTGCGATGCACCCCTGTCCAGCGCACCCTGCGTTACATGCACCCCTAACCGCCGCACCCTGCGTTACACGCACCCCTGACAGCCGCACCCTGCGTTACACGCACCCCTGACCGCCGCACCCTGCATTACAGCACCCTTGACCGCCGCACTCTGCGCTGCAGGCACACCTGACTGCCGCACCCTGCGCTGCATGCACGCCTGACCGCCGCACCTTGAGCTGCACGCACCCCTGACCAGCGCACCGTGCGTTACACGCACCCCTGACCACCGCACCCTCAGTTGCACGCACCCCTGACTGCCGCACTCTGCGTTGCACGCACCTCTGACCAGCAACGCAGAGCACCGCTCTCTGCGTTGCACGCACCCCTGAACGCCGCACTCTGCGTTGCACGCACCCCTGAAAACAGCACTCTGTTGCATGTGCCCCTGACCGTCGCACTCTGCGTTGCACGCACCCCTGACCAGCTCATGCTGCATTGCACGCATCCCTTACCAGCGCACGCTGCGTTGCACGCACCCCTGTCTGCCGCACTCTGCGTTGCGCGCACCCCTGACCGCCAGACTCTGCCTTGCACGCACCCCTGACTGCCGCACCCTGCATTGCACGCACCTCTGACCAGCTCATGCTGCATTGCACGCACCCCCTTTTAAGTCAAAGGGAAAAGTAAGCTTCCCCTAAAAAAGAAAAACGAATGCTAAAAAGTTTAGTTTTGGCTTCTTCTGACCCTGCCAGGAACAACGCAATTTTTGTCACATATTCAGGGGCTACGTCATCAAATGCAGCCCAATGAATGAAAAGAAAGATGGGGGAGGGAGGAGATGTAGAGAAGGAGATGGCAGTGGACGGACGGTGGACTAAGGCATGGCAACTGATGACCTAGATTGGTCAGCATTGGTGGAGGACACTCTTCACAATATGCAAGACCTTTGATTTCACCTTTCCTTTTCAACTTTACAACTGCTTAAGATAGGGGAATGCTAGAACCTCTGTCAGCTTTCTATTTATGTCTGTTTCCCTTTTGAAGATTTTCCCCTTACTTCCTGTCTCGAGCACAGGAAGTGAAGAAAAATCTTTTTTTTCAGATAGCAGAAAAACTTGACAAGGATTCCAACCTTTACTCATGCTATACAACACTATCAAAACAGCAGCATGTGCAAAACTTTTTAAGTTGAGTAGGGGATACATATTTCCCTCACATCTTGTCTAATGTAAGGTTGTCCCCAGAACAGAGGGTTAGGGGAAAGCTCTCTAACGGAGGCCCAGATAGCAGTAAAACCTAACAGGGGTTCTAAACTATTCCCATTCCAACCAAAACTTAATTGAAAAAAACATTGTGGCCATAAATACACTTTTATATTAACTGGTAAAGTAGATGAAGCTCAAAACTGATGGGTTTAAATCTGCTATGCGGAAAGTATTATCTGCAGCAAAGATTACACATGAAGCTTTTTTTTACAGCATATGCACTACATTCAGATCACACCTTTGAGTGTCACAATAGCTGTGTCATGTTATGATGATGATGCGGCAAAAAGGAAATCATTCAAAGTGCAATTATGAAACGGTAACCAAGCTCTTCACTGTGTTCTGTCTCTTTCTATGTCTCAACATCAGTGCCTCAACATCAGTGGTCAATGCCAGTTAACTGATCAAGCTTGGTGATCAGAGGTAGGAAAAAATGCCCCAGGGTTGGTGATCAGTGGGTACAAAAAAAAATTCTAGCACCCATCTGAGTGGGCAGAATAGTACCATGTCACCGGTGTCAGTGGGAGTAATAGTACCCCATTATTGGTGTCAGTGGGAGGAATAGTACCCCATTATTGGTAGTCAGTGGGAGGAATAGTGCCCCATCTTTGGTGTCAGTGGAAGGAAAAGGGAGCCCTATCAGTGGTATCAGCAGGAGGAATAGTGGCCCATCTTCGGTGTCACTGGGAGGAAAAGGGGGCCACATTAGTAGTATCAGCAGGAGGAGTAGTGTCCCATCTTTGGTATCAGTGGGAGGAATTCGGAACAAAATGAAACTTGCATAGCTAGTTGCAACAATGGACCTTGGGTCTAATTTCATAGGCCACCTATCCTGGTGGTCTGTTGTACCCGTGGGTGGAAGATTTGTTTCTAACAATTATTTTAATTAATATTTGCGATTCCCAGTGAGTTTAACTGCTCCAGTGGGAATTACTACTCGACAGCAGCAAATCATTTCAGTGCATATGTTCCATCTGAAAATGTATCTGTGTTTGGCCAGCTTTACCCTGGCTCATTCTGTAAATGCCCCGTGCTTTAAAGTGACTAAAAGGACAAAGAGTGCTTTTCGCTCACCTCATAGTTCTAGCCGACCTGCGACAATGAGACTGTCACAGGTCGGCTTAGTAGATCGGGAGATGAGCGAACACATACCGGCGTTCGCCCACCTCCCGATCCTGTCACGGCTCTCTGCCGTGACAGGGGAGGGGCTGGATTCCCCCCTCCCCGCTCCGATCCGCCAGCGCTAACTGGCGGAACAGACGGGGGAGGGTGCGGGTACAGCTGGCTCTGCCTCTAGATAGGCAGAGCCAGCTGACAGTCACGCAGCTGGGCGGATCCAGACATAATTGTCGGGATCCGCTTCAGCTGCGGTGTCTCAGTATACCGCGAGCAGTAGCTCGCGGTATACTCCGGCGTCTCAGTATACCGCGAGCTACAGCTCGCGGTGTACTGAGCCTAGGGTGATGGGAGGATGCTAGTTTGTGTCCTCCCATTACCCTAAGGAGAACTATGGGGAAAAGCCTTAAGCCCATAGTTCTCCTTTAAATCGCACCAGAAGTTCAGGGCAGGGAAAGTTTGATCACCTGACGAGCTAACCTCCCATCAATTTCCAAGTATCATTTGAATAAATACAACCACCTTACTGTCTCCATTGTTAGGTAGATGGGCGTTGCCATAACAGAAACTCCTGTTTTTCCTCCTCATTATGCAGTGAGTCATTGGCCGTCCTGAATGGATCCCAGGGTATATTTATTGCCCGTGTCACTATAAATACTCTGCTCGTTTATACAACAGAAAATCACAACTGGGATGGGACAATATAAATATTAGTGAGCATCAGTGTGTGGGTAGGTGTTGGTAGGCCAATATGTGGAGTTTCCCCAACAGCGGGAGTAACACTTATATAGTGCAAATATCACTACCATATCTGCATGCCTATCTTTTTATTAGTATAGATATGCAGCAGAAATGTACGTGCACACAGTATTTGACTAGCCTGTGTTCTCATGTACCATGCATGGATTAGATGAGATCTGTCACTCATCTACCAAAGGTGACAGTAAAGATAGATAGATAGATAGATAAACCTTTTATGACCAGCATGACTATATATATATATAATTGGGTTCTAGTTGCCAAAACAATTTTAGCTGTGTCACTATGCAACAGTTAAAGGCATGGTCCTGCGATCTGTGAATGGATGACATGGCTGTGAGGGTGGAGCCACATACAGCCAAGTTAGATAGAAAAACTGTCAGAAGCATGCTGGGAGAAGAAACCCCTGATCATCTAATTGCGGGGTGGGATGCAAGTGGTGGGCGGTCACAGACTTCTGGAAGATGAAGTAGACATTAAAGCTGTAAAGACAAAGTGCC